AAGAACATGATATGGGCATCAAGATAGACATATTAGGTCAAAGGATCAGAATGGACTATCCAGATATAAGCCTGTGTATGTGTGTGTATACTATATGGTCAACTAATTTTTGAAAAAGGCAGTGCAGTGGAAAAAGATTGCCTCTTCAATAAATGATTCTGAAACTATTGAATACTGAAATGCAAAAACAAAAATGAGCTTTCATTCATATCTCATACTATACACAAAAAATTTGCTCAAATGGGCTGTGGACCTACATGTATACCCCCAAATTATAAAATTTCTACAAGAAACACAAGAGAAAATATTTGTTACCTTGGTTTAGGCAAATATTTCTTAGCTACAACACCAAAAGCACTGTCTATAAATGAACAATTGGATAAATTCAACAAACTTTAAAATGCCTACTCTTCAGAAGACCCTTAGTTGAAATTAAAAGACAAGCCACAGACTACAATTTGGTTAAGCACGTATCTAGTAAAATCTTATATCTAGAATAGATAAGGTACTAAATCTAATCTCAACTGACAGCAAAGAAACAACCCAATTAAAAATATGGTCAAATTATTCAAAAAAACGTTTCACCACAAAAAAGATGCTCAGCATCATTCATCATTAGGGAACTGCAAATTATAATTCCATAGAAACACCATTAAATACTTGTTAAAAATGGTAAAATTTAAAAGAGTACCATGTCAAGTTTTAGGCAAAGATACAGAGGATATAGAATTCTCATACAGTAGTGGTAGAAATATAATACAGAACAACGACTTTGAAAAGTTGAACAATTTCTTAAAATGTTAAATTTTTGTAAACCAGACACCCAGTCATTCTAATCCTAGTTGTTCAGGGTTTGTTTGTTTGTATGTTTTCTAAACTGTTGATATAATCAACATTTATGAATCTCAGAATAATTATGCTGAGTGAAAGAAGCAAAGTAAAAGGGTACATATTGTGTGTAAAACTCAAGAAAATGCAAATATATTGTGAAGAAAGCAGGTCAGCAGTTACTTGAGGATAGAAAATAGAGATGTGAGAAGAGTTTTCAAAAAGGACCATAAGTAAATTTGGATGTGGCAGATATATTCATAATCTTGATTATAGTAGTGATTTCATGGGCATATACATAAGGTGGCTTTCCAAATTGTGCACTTTAAATATGTACAATTTTGTACTTCAATTTTGCTTCAAAAAACTCTAAAAAATAATAAATTGAGGAATTTTTATTATCATTGAAAGGCAGTTAGCCAAAATACATGTTTATAGACTGAAATGCTTTAGTTTCTTTATGTAGCATTATTTTAATCATACTCTAAAGCAAAAACACAAAGCAGCTTACAATCTTATTTTTCCAAAGAGACTATTTTGATTCCTTAAATAAAACTTACCATAATCATAGAGATAAAGGGCTGGGGTTGTGGCTCAGTGGTAGAGTGCTTTTGTTGCACACGTGAGGCCCTGGGTTTGATCCTCAGCACTGTATTTAAAAAACAAACAAACAAACAAAAACATAGAAGTAAAACATAATTTAATTAAACAAGTAGTAAGTAACTTAGTAAGTACCTCAAGATAATGTTTATAAGTAAAACCTCAAGTACTCACTATAAAAAACTGATTCCAGTTGAACTATTAACTTTTCTTAAACGTATGATACTTTTGGAATGAAGTATATAGCTGCACTTATCTCTGGCATTCTTATTTTTTAGATTCAATAGTCTTACAACATAGGTTTTTCTTAAAATTATTAAAATTGATGTTATTTAGTGTATTAGAAAAAAGTGTACAATGATACTCAAAGCCCAAACTTTGATTCATTTATGAAATTAATCCTAAATTTTACTACCCAAGCTTGTTAGCTCACATATAAGAGAGGTAAGTTCCAAGAGTGAAAAATCAGATAAGTGTATTTGTTTCTGTGTATTTACATTTTAGATTAGTTTAAAAGTCCTAGATGTAGTTTACTATGCATAGACTTGGAAGATAGCCAAAGAAAATACAAGTTTATTTTAGATTTTACCAACATTTACTACTCATTAATAATTCTAAATAATAAAATTAATCACAGTTAAAAATCTTTATTTAAGTACATGGAAAACGCATATTATTTAGTGTTTTCCCCAAATTCATACACTATGGATAATGTAGCCTCATACATTTAATTTCAAACTTCATTTAAAGATATCTGATTTTAATGTTAACCTATTGAAAAATGACATGTATATTTTCTAAAAATTTATTTCTTACAAAAAAGAAATTCTTTCTGTAAAAAAGGATATTTTTGTATTTATGTCATTAATATCTGTTTTGGGCATCTATGTGTTTATTATCTTTAATCCTATTAATATTTCTGAGTGACAGGTATCATTTCCCTTTTGAAAATCAAAGAAACCTTTGTCTAAGAGACTGATTTTCCTAAGTTTCCTCTGCTAATAAAAGGCAAAGAATCCAACTCACATCTGTTTTCAAAGTTTATGTTCATTCTACATGGAATACAGTGACTCTCTACAATTGTAATTTTTTTCCCTTGTATTTCCTACTCTACATTTATATAATTGCAAGCTCATTAAATACAAAATAAGTTAGGAAATATAAGTCATAATTTTAAAGTAAGGTTAAATAAATGTAAGCACATTTATATTTATAAATATCATATTTATATTTATAAATATCACATTTATATTTATAAATATCATATTACTCTTGGTTTAACATGTTAGACTCTCAAATAATAGTTGTATTGCCATTATTGTTGCTATAGTTATATCAGCACAATAGAATTAAATAATTTTTAAGACCAATAAAATCTGTAAAAGGATCTATCAAAAGTATAAATATAAATTAGGATCTGTAAAATACAATTTAAGAAGGTTGGAAATATGCCTAAAATTAATTTTATGTTGATAGAGTCTAACATAATTCCATGTGATAATAGGTTCAATATATCTGTGGTAGTTTTAACAAGTTTGAATTATTAAATTTATGATGTTTTTATTCCAATTCTGCTGTACTTTAAAAATCCAAAGGAAACAATTATTTTTTCCTTTTCGGATTTGGATTTTTTTTAGATATACATGACAGTAGAATATATTGACATATTATACAAACATGGAATGTATCTTATTCTAATTAGGATCCCATTCTTATGGTTGTACCTGATGTGGTCATGTATTCATATATGAACATAGGAAAATTATATCCAGTTGATTCTCCTGTCTTTCCTATTCGCATCGCCCCTCCATTCCCTTCATTCCCCTTAGGATAATCCAATAAATTTCTATTCTACCCACCCCTACTTTATTGTGTGTTACCATCCGCATATCAGAGAAAACATTTTGACTTTGGTTTTGGAGAGTTGGCTTTTTTGAATTAGCATAATTGTATCCAGTTTCATCCATTTATTGGCAAATACCATTATTTCATTCTACTTTATGGCTGAGTAATACTACATTGTGTACATATCCCACATTTTTTTTATCTGTTCATCTGTTGAAGGGCACCTAGGATGGTTGCCCTTCCATAGCTTAGATGATGTGAGTTGAGCTGCGTCTAATTAGTATGCTAATTTTAAGTCCCTTGGGTATATACTGAGGAGTGGAATAATTGGGTCAATTATTGGGTCAAACAGTGGTTTCATTCCAAGTTTTCTGAGGGATCTCCATATTGCTTCCCAGGGTGGTTGCACCAATTTGCAGTCCCACCAGCAATGTATGAGGGTACCTTTTTCCCCACATCCTCATCGACATTTATTGTTACTTGTATTTTTTATAATTTCCATCCTGACTAGAGTAAGATTGAATCTCAGTGTGGTTTTAATTTGCATTTCTCTAATTGCTACACATAGTGAGCATTTTTTCATATATTTTTTGACTGTATTTCTTCTTCTGTGAAATGTCTGTTCAGTTCCAAAGGAAACAAAATTAAAATGGAAGGCCTTAAGTCCACTTAACTATTATAAATGAAACTTGTGCCATGTAGTATTAATAATTATCTCTTCCTATTTGCCATCTGGCTTGAGAGACAACATTAACATGAATATGTCTGAAAGTAAAACTTTTGTACATCCTATTTTAGCCTAGCCCTAAGGAAGTAACCATGAAAATTCATACTTTTACTCCAACTATAATGTAATACTAGAGTACAGCAAAACTCCTACCTGGAGCCATTGTGTGTGTACTTGGCCTTTATATAGTAACTGCTTCTCTTTAATAGAGAAAAATATAATCCCAAAACTCAATATATTTTTAATTTACTTTTATAGCTGCCTTATAAATAATGTTGTACCATCCATTTCTAATAGAAGCTCTTCTTCCTTCTTCATGTATTCTCAGCAAAATCAGTAGCATGTCAGCAATCTTTCCTTTCTCTAAACTGGCTTTTACCATTAATGTTCCCTGAAGAATATTGACAGTAATTTCAGGAAAATCTGACAATGTAAAAGGAACCCTTCTCATGTCCCTAACAGAATTGTATACAATTCCAGTTATATATTAGCATAATTATTTTCCTGTATTTGTTCATGAAAAAGGAAACTGATATATAAAAGTTACTGATTTTCTAACTCAGCTCAAGGTTGTAATTCTAATTCTATATTTTGTTATTATTACACTGAAATTCTTGACCTGCTAGTAGAAAGTATAATTCTTTCTAATGTAAGAAAGCCAAATTATAAATTCTCGATCTCGATAAGAATTACATGAAAATTTTGTCTTGAAGATTAAAATCTCCATTCAGTATAAGCAGAAATATCATCTTTGCCTGAAGGGCAAATAAGGTAATCCAGTAAAAGGAGCAAATAGCAGTTAGTCTTAGTAAATTGAATCTTAGAAACTTACTGTTGAATAATTCAGTATGTACTTTGGTTGTTCGAAATATTCTGCTTAATTGTTTGTGAATCTCAAAAGTTAATGTTCTAAAGTTACATTGGAGAGTTTACAGTGATGCTTTTAATACAGTTTAGTTTCCCTGAAGCTTTAACAATTACATTTGTTTTGATTTTAAAGGAGATGTTGGGTGAACTCTTCACTCCTGTAGAAACACCTGAAGCACCAAACAGGGGATTCTTTAAAGGCTTGTTTGGAGGTGGTGCACAGTCCCTTGATAGAGAAGAACTATGTAAGTTGATTTATTTAATTTGGATGATATATCTTCATAGTACAGAAACATTCAAGTCATGTATTTTTTTACATGTGTAAAATTATGTTCACTCTTTCCCGCTTTGTCAGAATAATATATTCATATTTTTAAAGAGTAAATAAAATTATTTATTTATTTTATGTCCCAAATCAAGAAAATATGTTTCTCAGGGAACCAAAATCAGAATAGTTTCAAGTGGCTAAAAAGAAGTATTCACAAATTGCATGAATAATTTAAAGAGTATTTATTTATACTAAATGTGATCATCATTATTTTATTTCTGTGATTGCCTTTAGTTCATAACTGTGTCAGTCAGATTTTCATGTCTGTGTAAAATACCTGAGAAAAGCAACTTAAAAGGAGGAAAGAGATTTCTTTTATAAAAGCTCACAGTTTCAGAGGTTTCAGTCTATAGTCGGTTATTTGGAGCCTGTGGTAAGGTTAAGAACATCATGGTAGAGAGTGTGTGATATTGCAGAGCTCCTCACTGCATACAGCAGCTAACCAGAGAGAGAGGAGGGGCCAGGATCCCAATTTCCCGTTCAAAGGCACATCCCCAGTAATCCAACTTCCCTTCACTGTGATCTACCTCCTGAAGGTTCCACCAGCTCCTAACTGTGGCATGAGCTGGAACCAAACTTTTAACACAGGAGCCATTGGGGGACACTTAAGATCCAGACTATAACAGCCAACCTCTGACTTCCAAAGACTTATATCTACCTCACAATGCAAAATGCTTTCAGTTCCCAAATTATCAACTATTCTGCATTACTCAAAACTCTAAGTCCAAAGTCTCCTCTGAGACTCAAGGGAAATTCTTAGCTATGAGCCCCTGTATAAATCAAAAAGAAAGTTACATATTTCCAAGATGCAACGACACAAGGGAAACAGTCCCATTTCAAAAGAAAAGAATAGAAAAATAGTAAGAATGGGACCAAAGCAAGACCAAAATCCAGCATGCAAAGCATAGCTCCATGTCTGGCATGCCATGGTGGCATGATGTGAGCTCTTAAAATGCTTGGGCAGCCCTGCTCCTATAGCCTTGCTGGCTGTAGCCACAAAGCCTTTCTCTTTTGCTGGCTCTACTTGCCTGTAGCTTCCCTCATTGGGTATTCCACCATTCCTAGCTTCTGTCACTTCCTTGGATCTCCATTGCAGCTTCAGCTTCTCTCTCACAGATTCACTCATTGCCCTGTCAAGGTATGCTTTCAGAAACTTATAACTGCCACACACACTGCCCGATTGCCCAGGGTTTAGTTTGGTTTAGTTTTTTGTTTGTTTGTGTGGGTTTGTTTTTGTGGGTTTGTTTTTTCTTTGTATGTTTTTTTTTTTTTTTTCTTAATCTCAGTAGAAACCTCCATGACTCCATAACTCTTGGATTCTACATGTCTGCAAAACAAGCATCAGTGGACAGTGCCAGGGTACGCCAGCAACTGGAGCAGAATCCAGGCCTATATGGACCAAGTCTACATTGGTCTCTGAGTCCCTAGACAGCTGAACACAGACAAAAAAATTCACTAAGTGGTCTTGTGCTAGCAAATCTTATGCCCTCAGAGCTGTTTTCTCAAACAAAAGCCTTTGAACCTACAGTGAGTAGGGTCTTGCTTGTTCCTGAATTGCCTTCAAGGCATCTTTCCTTTTGTCTCAATGCACAGTACTTGGCTTCCTTTTAAAGTTTCTAATCTTTAATACCCTCACCTTCCTTGACCTTAAATTTAAACATATATTCTGGCCAAACTGCAAATTTTTTAATGCTTTTTCTTGTGCCCTGTGCTCCCAATTGTAATGTAAATTTGTCTAAAAGCAGCCAACATTATCTATGGCACTGACTGAATGCTGTGCTGCCTTGAAATTTTCTCTACCAGATTAAATAGTCTGTCGCCTTTAAACTCAGCCTCACTAGACTCAAGGCATGGACAAAATGTAGGGGAAAAAAAATTGCCAAAATATAACACAAGTGGCCTCTAATCCAATTCCCAAGAGTGTCCTCATTTCTATCACACACCTCATCAGTACGGCCTTTACTCTCTGCATTTCTGTCAGCATTCTGTTCTACCTAGGCCCCACCAATATCATCCATTAAGCTCCACTTCCAGCATTATAGACTTTCTCTAGCCCACTTCTTCAAACTTTTCCAAATTCTAGCAGGAAGTATAGTACCCATGAGAAAGCATGAGAATCCAGAGTGCTGAACCTATCCGGGAATACTCTGCTTATTTGAAATAGGAAGCTGAGATACGTAACTGTGTTAGGGCTTGCAGGATAGTCTCCCAGGCTGGCAAGGACAGGAACCCTGAAATAACTCTTCCTCTTTGCAAGGATCCCAAAGGGCTACAATTTAAGAGTAAGGGTGAATTGGGAACAAACTAGCCTTTGTCTACACAAACTTCAGCACAGCTTCAAATTATTTGAGTGACTTGGAAAACTTTAAGTGTTCATTAAGATTTTCCCAGACTGCTGGATTCCTCAGAACCTAGAAAATGGGTGAGGAAGGTGGGATGAGTTTCTTTGAAAGAGGTAACATATTCTAAATCTTTAAATATAGGTTTTTAAGTATATAGTCATATAGTCATAGATAACCAGGAACATTGAAAAGTAAAACAGAAAAAGCAGAATTAGGATTGTAGCACTTAAAATACTGAAATTTGCAGACACAAACTATGCAGTAATTATTCATGCATGTTGAATATCCCTTAACCGAAATGCTTGGTAGCAGAAGTGTTTCAATCCTTAGAATTTTGGAGTCTTTGAATTTTTGCATAGACTTTTACCAGTTTCAATCTGAAAATATGGAATGCTACAAAATCTGAAATTTTTTGAGCATCATGTTAGCTCTCAAAAAGTTTTGGATTCTGGACAGTTGGATTAGGGTTGGTCAACTTATATCATGTTCATGATGATAAATAAAAATTTCATAGATAGGGAAAAAAAACTAAAATGAAGTACTGGAACTAAAGATGAAAAAAACAAAATGGTGATCACTGAATAGGCATAAGTTGCAAATTAGACAACTTATGAAGAGAGAATTCATAACTTAAAGAAGAAACCATCCAAAATGTGTCACAAAAAAAACAAAAACATGTAGAGTATAGAGGAGAGCCCCCAAAATAGAACTTGCAGTGAGTAAATCTAATACATATTTAAACCTCAAGAAGGAAATATAAAAAGAATCAATATGTAAAGACATGTCTAAATTTTTTTTAAATTGAGAAATGATGCTGATGCACAAATTTAAGAGGTCTAATGAATTTCAGTTGTTTTTTATAAACTCATCAACTAGATAGACTTATATAATACATTAAACATAAGAAGAAAAATCTTTAAACTGGATAGAGAAAAATGATGTGTCTTTTAACATGTTATAGACTGATACATGACTTAACAGATAATAAGGTGCTCTTTTATATGTTGATAGAAGATAATATTTAATCTATGATTCTATACACAAAGAAAATAGCCTTCAAGAATGAGACATTTTTAGGCAAATGAACAAGAAGTAAGACTTGCCACCACATGCAAGGGAATTCTAAAAGGTGTGCTTGAGATAAAAAGAAAATTATTCTCATTGGAATGTCATAGGTGTAGAAAATAATGATTTGGGGAAAATTGATGTATAAGAATATAAGTATAATTAGTAATTATAATTTCTAGAGTAACTTCTAAAATCTAGACTAATGGCCTATAGCTTCCAGGTGAATAGTAGGAAAAACCACAGTTTTTCCAAAAGAAAGCAAGAAAGGAAAGAACACAAAACAAGTGGGATAAGTACAAAGCACATAAAGGATGACAGATTTAACTTAAATGAAAATAATGGTAGCAAATATAGGTAAAATAAATGTTTCATTTAAAAGACAAGGAAAATTTTTTAAATGAAAGAAATATTCATTGCATGTAAAAAACACCTTTAAAACCTAAGGATACAAAGGTTGAAACTTTAAAAGATGGAAAAGCCTCAGTACAAATGAAGAGCCAGCTTGGTATAAGTCTATTAATGTCACAAAAACTAGACATTAAAACAGTATTTGAATACAACTAATATTTTCTCTTTAAAGTCAAGAAAAACAAATATTGAGATGACTATTAGAAAAGACAATTTCCCAATCAATCAGTATACCCATTGACTGATTTAACAGGCAGACAAAAACCATTTTGCATTTGGTATTTATACAAAGTAGCACTTACGAGTAAAATTCGTATCCCTAAGTATATACTAAGTATTAGAAAAAGAAAACATTAAAGTGATTAAACTGAGCATCCATCTCAAAAAGTTAGAAAAATAGAAAGGTAAAGTAAAAAAGATTAAGGTTATCAATGAAATGGTAAATAAATACACAGCAAAAATATATATGTACCAAAACAGTCTTAGTTTGGGATGCTATAACAAAATATTATAGACCAGATGGCTTATAAACAATAGAAATTTATTTCTCATAGTCCTGAAGGTTAGAAATCTAAGAGCAGATTTTCAGTAGAGTCAAGTTCTTGGTGAGAGTCTGTTATGGTTTAGATATTAGGTATCCCTAAAAGGCCATTTGTGAGATGTTGCAAAAAAGTTTAAAGGTGAAATAACTGGGTTAAGAAAGGTTTGACCTAATCAGTTGTTTAATTCTCTAATGGGGATCGGCTGGGTGGTAACTGTAGGCAAATAGGATATGGCTGGAAGAGGTAGGTCATGGGGGTTGCATGCCTTTGGAGTACACATTTTGTTCCTGGTGATGGGAGCTCGCTCTCTCTGCTTCCTGGGTGCAACATCCTGACCTACTTTTCTCTGCCATACTCTTCTACCAGGTTGTTCTGCCTCACCTTAGTCCCCAAGAAATGGAGTTGGCTTTCTAAGGACTGAGACCTCTGACAACATGAGCACCAAATAAACTTCATCCTCTAAAATTGTTCTTGTCACTTCTTTTGATCACAGCAATGAAAAGGCTGACTAAAATAGAGTCCTCTTGGTGGTTTTCAGATAGCCATCTTCTTTCAGTATCCTCACATGGGAGAAAAGAGGCAAGTTAGCTCTCTGGCCCTTATAAGGCCCTAATCCCATTCATGAGACCTCCACTCTCATAACCTAATTACCTCTGAAAAGCCCCATGCCCAACATCACATTGGCGATTAAATATCAACATAGGCACTTTGGAGGCACACACCACTTAGTCTATAACAAAAGCTAAAAATGTTGATTCTTCTGGTGAAACCAAGCAAGAATAAAGAAAGGAAAAGTGATCACTGTAGGGATGGAGAAAACAGCTATCACTGAAGTTATTATTACCATTTTCAAATGAAATTGACCAAATTATACTATGTGCATATATGAATATATCACAGTGAACTCCACTTTTATGTATAACTATAATGCACCGATTAAAAGAAATAATAAATAGAGGGAAGAACAGTATAGTAGAGTAGAGGAAGGAAGATCAGGGGAAGAGAAGGGAAAATAAACAAAAAGTACTGGGGATTGAATCGGAGCAAATTATATTATATGCATTTATGAATATTTCAAAATGAACTCCACTATAATATATAACTACAATGCATTAAAAATATTTTAAGTAAAAATTTAAAATGAGGAAATGAAACATAATTTTATTTAAAAATTTTTTAAATATTTGGTGAAGTAAATAAATTCCTAAAAAAAAAAAAAAAAACAAGATGGACAAAAAAACAATAAAAAAATAGCAATATACTTATTTGATATTGAAACTGTTATTTCAGACTTCCACAAGTAAACTCTGGGTACAAACTGGGCTCCATTAGTAAATTTTATCAAATATTTAGGGGAAAAAACCTACTTCCACACTGTCTTTTTCAAACAGATCAAAAAAGAATGTACACTTATCAACTCATTTTAACACGACCCTTCTAGTAAAAACCTAAACACTCTGAGAAAGGAACAAATAAAGGCAACTGTCACCTTTGGATATATATATATAAAATTCAAAATTTCATATTAATATAACAAATCCAATATTAACCAATGAGGATAATATATCAAGCACAAGAATTCAAAGTTGATTTGTCCTTTTAAAAAGAAAAGATCAATCAGTAATTTACCACATTAAGGACAATTAGGCAAGAAAATGAAGTGTGGAAGGCATGCATACTGGAAAAAGTAAAACTCTTTATTTGCAAATAGAGTCTTGCATGAAGTAGATCCTAAGAAATCCACCAAAAAAATTACAGCTATCAAAAAAGTCCAGCAAGATTAAAAGATATAAGATCTGTATAAAACAACTGCATTTCTATATGCTAGCAACAAATAATCAAAGAAATTAAGAAAATAATTCTGTTTGCAATATAAACCCCTTGAAAATAATTTAACAAAAGGAGTAAAAGACATGTACACTGAAAACTTCGAAATATAAAGAAAGTTAGACATAAATAAATGAACTAGCATCTCATGTTCATGGATTGGAAGACTTAAGACTATTAAGATATCAGTACTGCCCAAATTGATCTATACACTTAACAATACCCATTCAAATCACACTGAGTTTTTGCATAAAGCAAGATATTCCTAAGACTCATTAAAATGCAAGGAATACAGGGACTGGGGTTGTGGCTCAGTGGTAGAGCAAACGCCTCTCATGTGTGAGACCCTTGGTTCAATCCTCAGCACCACATAAAAATAAATAAACAAAATATATTGTGCCCATGTATAACTAAAAAATTTTTTTTAAAAAATACAAGGAATACAGATAGCCATACAAAAACTAATATCCCCCAAAAAAGAAGACTAAGGTGAGGTAGAGCAACATGGTAGAACAGTATGGCAGAGAAAAGTAGGTCATATTGTAACTTGATGTTTTAACCTCAAAGGTTAAAACATCAAGTTACAATATGACCCAACAGTTCTACTTCTGGGCACATACCAAGAGGATTTACACATTCTGATTTCAAAATTTACCACAAAGATTTAGTCATCAATATAGAGGGATACTGGCATAAAGATAGATATATATGGGCTGGGGATGTGGCTCAAGCGGTAGCGTACTCGCCTGGCATGCACGGGGCGCTGGGTTCGATCCTCAGCACCACATAAAAATAAAATAAAGATGTTGTGTCCACCAAAAACTAAAAAAAATAAATATTAAAAGATAGATATATAGATCGTGGACTAGAATTGAGAGTCCAGAAGTAAACCTGTAATATTTATAGTCAATTGGTTTTCTGCAAGGATGTCAAGAAAATTCAAATGATATTGGAACAAATGGATATCCACATACAAAAATAAATAAATAAATGAAGTTGGACCCAATTTCACAGCATATAAAAAATAAACTCAAAAAGGGTAAAAGACCTCAGTCTAAGCTAAAATACAAAACCCTCAGAAGGAAACATAGGTAAAAATTTTTGTGATCTTTGATTAGGCAGTGGTTTCTCAGATATGATACCTAAATCACAAGCAGCCAAAGAATAAAGTAGATAAATTAGAATTTGTCAAAATTTTAAACAGTGCTTCAAAACAATATATCAAGAAAACAGTGAAAAGATAGTCCAAAGAAAGTTAAATATTTGCAAGTAGTATATCTGCTATCTGATAAGATCTAGTATCCAGAATATATAAAGAACACTTACAACTCAATAATAAAAAGACAAATAGCCCAATTTCAAAATGGGGAAAATATGGAATAGATATTTCTCCCAAGAAAATGTACAGCTGATCAATTAGCAGAGGAAAAGATGCCCAGTATCATTTGTTATTTGAGAAATCCAAATCAAACCACAATGAAATATCACTTCATACTTACAAGGTTGGCTCTCAAAGACATACGTACAGATGTTAGCAAGGATATGGAGAACATGAAATGCTTGTACATTGCAGATAGGTATGAGAAATGGTCCATGTTCTTCAGAAAATTGTCTTACAGTTCCCTCAAAGGTTAAAACATCAAGTTACAATATGACCCAACATTTCTACTTCTGGGCACATACCCAAGAGAATTATAAACATTCACACAAAAGTTTCTGTAAATGTTCATGATAGCATTATTCATAATAACCAAAAAGTGGAAACAGCCCAAATGTCTATTAATTAATGGATGGATATTCAAAATGTATACATACAATAATATGTTCTTCATACATAAAGGGAAAAAAGTACTGTTATATGCTACAACATAGATGAACCTTAACGTTATTCTCAGTGAAATAAACTAGCCATGAAAGGTTACATACTGTATGAATCCATCACATGAAATGTTCAGCATAGGCAAATGTATAGAGACAAGACTATATTAGTAATTGACAAGGACTGGAAGAAGAGTGCAAAGTGACTACTAACAGGTGTGGGGGCTTCTTTGGGAGTGATGAAAGGCTCTGAAATTAGATAGAAGTGATGGTTGTACAGCCTTGTGAATAAACTAAAAACCACTGAATTGTTAACCTTTAAAGGTAAACTGAAAGAAGAGGGAATGAATCTGGAATAACTCTTGTAAGAATTTAAGACTTTAATAGGTATTAGATATTCAGGGTCTGGATTCTGAAGGGAAGAGAAACAATGATCCTTTGAAGGAAAAAATTGATCTGTTTTGTAAAGACAGAGTAAATGGAGATAACAAATGTATGATATCTACAAATTTTGGAGACTAAAATAGAATACTGATTAAATTCATTTTTCTTCTGAGACTAAACATAGTCTTTAGGAATTATGGGGTAAAACTAAATCAAATTTGTATATTTAAATCTATACATTTGAATGTAAAATCTTTAAGTTAATAATCTCTAATTTTCTGAACTCTTAAGAATAATATTTGATTGTATAAATTGGTGTCAGTATGCTTACTACTCGTTTCAACAGATAATTACCACCCTTTTTTTGCACAAGTCATGCTGTATGAACTAATATATCAATATGGGTATTTATTAATGTGCCTAGTATTTTGCATGTTTGGAAGAAGTATCTAGAACTGATTTAATACATTATAATAAAAGAAAAACATTAATGATAGTTATATATATAAATATTCCAGTTATATTGTCATTCAAATGAAAATTTGTGGTAGGATTTTATTAATAGAAATCTTCAGCTTTTGAATTAACTCTTTCATTTATCAAATCCTTTTAGTTGGAGAGTCATCCTCAGGAAAAGCTTCACGGAGTCTTGCACAGCATATCCCTGGCCCTGGTGGCATTGAAGGTGTGAAAGGGGCAGCCTCTGGAGTTGTTGGTGAATTGGCACGAGCCAGGTTGGCACTGGATGAAAGAGGGCAGAAGCTTGGTGACTTAGAAGAAAGAACAGCAGCTATGTTATCAAGTGCAGATTCATTTTCTAAACATGCTCATGAGGTATGTCTGTCCAACATATATTTCAACAAACCCTAGACAAAGCAAGTATGAACATTATTATATTTATATAGCTGTGTATTTCTGTATACATGAATTTGCTTATATCCTTTGTACAAGCACAAATCCCTGATTTTTGCCACCAGAGGGAACCTTTACAAGAATATGTCTCAGTAACCTTTGATTTCTTACTGAAGTTTATAAATTTGGAAGATCTGCTCACCTTCAGGATCTATAAACAATGCCAACATCTTTGCAACTATTTCTTAGCAAATGCATAACAATGCTAATTTTCCTTAATACCTCAGAGTATACTCTCACCTTGTCCTAGAGAAGGAAATAATTCGCCTCATTGATTCTGCCTGGTAAATCTAAATAATTAAAATGGATAACATTTTGATGCAAATAAACAATACTAAGTTTATCTTGAAACCAATTAATATGGAAGGGTAACCAGATTCATTTTGCATTGAACTCATTTTGAAGTACTTTTAAGTCATGGTAGAGCTCAGAAACAGATGCTAAAAAGTAGGGGATCTCAAAATGACCTCTGATAAACATGTTTTTGTGGACTAACATAGTGCTTCTTAAAAACTGAACTTAAAATAAGACTTTATGTAAAATACACATTTTTTTTTCACTTTTGCACTTCTGCCGTTCCATGCTTTGACATGGGGTACTTCCCCATATTTAATTCTTAGATTGTCCCTTGATATTTTGAGTTTGTTGTCTGAAGGAACCATATCAAAATTATTTTTTTTACTTGTGCACCTAAATCTTTAATAATAACTCTCCCTTAAATGTTTCAACCAAAAGTCATCTCCTCTTTGCTCAAGAGAGCTGAAATCTAGAATGCATGAAAGAGGTAACATGACCTGGGAAATACTTGTTCAGGACCTCAAACAGATTGAGAGGTCCTTTGTGGGAGTACTTGTACATGTGCCCACATGCATCACAGATGTAGGTTAGTAGCCTTCAATCCAGGACTAGATTTTTGTTGTCAGAGCTCTACCATCTAACTGAATGATCCCTAAGGCACATAGCATTTTTGATGATTTCATAATATATCCACACTCTAAATAGTTAGCAAAAAGCTCAAATTCATAGCTTTTTTCTTCTGCTAGATGTTCTTCAGTCATATTAAGAGTCTAAGGAAGATAGTACATTGAGGTGGTTACAGTCATGGCTTCTTGAATCAGACAGCCTGAACTCAAATCCCAGGTTCACCATTATGTTGACATGAGTAGCCCCTAGAAGCCTCAGGTTCTTCATTTATTAAGTGAGAAGAAAAGTAATTTGTAGTTTTATTAGCTTAGTCACCAAATTAGGGTCACCTCTCTTAAGAAATTTGAGGACCTTCCCAGCTAGTTCTTAATGGTTGTAGTCACTTTTTTCCTCTAAATAGAACAGTTCTTAACACTTTCAATGAAATGATTTGAAGTAAGCAATATAGTAACACTAGAGAATGTTTCAGAATAACACAATGTTTTTGAAAAATATAGAAACCAGTTATAAATACCATTGTTCTGGCATTTTAAAAATGTTTCTCTCCCCCCCACTTTCTTCCTCTTTAGATGATGTTGAAATACAAAGATAAAAAGTGGTACCAGTTCTGACACCCAGAATCCAATTAAGTCCAACTTCAGCCAGAAGGAAAAAAATTTCCTTTTTTATTTCACTGATTTAAGAAAGTTAACATTCAACGGATGTTCATCGCTGAATACTTTCTAGCACAATCATGCACTGTTTTACCTCAGTCAATTGGCATTAACTGAGGGGCGTTCACACACACACTCAAAATGGAATATATGGTGTGTGCAGGCTGTGAGTTTACAATTTGGATACTAACCAGGTCACGTGTGACAGATGAAGAAACAAAAGGGGAAGCTGAGGAGACATGGCAGGGACTATTCCTTGGATCATTCCTGTATTAAACTTTTATATGCCAAAAGATTTCATGCTGTTGTGTCTGCCATCAGTGTTTGACCTGTTTTGGGGAGAGGCAATAAGTCCAAAGTTCTGAAGCTGAAGTAGTTTGTGTCATCGGACTGGATTATAAACAGTTGTATTGGACTTTCCCTCCCTTAAATTGACTGGTCATCAGTATCATTAGTGAAAAAGAAACAAAACTATTTCCCTTTCTTTAGACTAAGCTGAATGGTGGGCTTTAAATAATAAAATCATACACATAGTTGACTTGTGTATGGGCTACTCTTGGATTCTTGTTATTATATACTTGTGTTTAGTTCATATTTTGTCAAAAGCAAAACAAGGTGATACATCACTTTTCATTGAAAAGAGAAGTGTAGAGCATGACTGAATTGCTCATCATTCTGGGAGTTTCCATGTAGTGGCTATGCAGTGTGGAAAGTGAGAAAAACCTCCATTGTGGGGAGGAGAATACTTCAATGTCCTTTGTCCTAGTTCTCATTAATTCAGCTAAAGGTGGATCTGACCAAAGTAGTTACTGGTTAAATTTGTAGAAAAGTTGAAATTGGCTAAGTTTTTAATTTTGCTTGAATTTTTATAAAATGTTTAACCAAATGTACCTTTGCATTATTTAATTAAAATTGCTTTAAAAAAAAAAGTTTCATTATTTCAGTAAAATGCTCAGCTCCCCTTTTAAAATGCCCTTTATTTGCTAACAGTTCCAATACACTCAGGTGATGAGCCAATTAAATCTTAATGCACATGCTATCGCATGGAAAACTATAAGCATCTGTTGTCAATAAGTATCTATATAAGAGTCTAGTCTGATGACCTACAAAATATTTGCTGTATAAATATAATAAAAAATCTGTACATATCCTTTCAAGGTTTTAAAAAGCCAAAGAAAAGGAAAATACTTACACTTTGGTAACAAAATTATTTCTGTAATGGAATACAATGCAAATTAAGATAGCTGTGGACAATGAATGACTGGTTCATAGAATAGCATTACAGACAGGAAAGTAATCACTCCATAGATCTGGAATCAAGCAATCTAATAATACAGGCTAATCTGAGATCATAATTGATTATTGTTAGAGCAGCAAAGGAAGATCAAAATAGAAGCATTAAAATTAATGTTAATGAAATTTTAATATTGTCTTCTATAAAAATTGTTTTAAGTAATTTTATTTTTCATTAAGATATTATCTGAGCACAAATTGACTGCAAACATGATTGTTTTTCTATTCCATATGATCATTAAAGCTATATGTAGAACATTTTTTTCATGCACTCTGTTATGCATATATTCTTCCTTACTCTTTTCACTAAGAAAACTTTTGTTTACATTTTATAATGTGCACTGCAGGATGTAAAAGTTTACATCAAAGTTTACTTTAAATATTATTGGGTAGGACCTAAATATATGTGATATGTGATACAGATGATAAATCAAGTCAAAAGAAATATTTTTAAAATACAGTCATTTTCAAAAGTTTTTGGATTTGTAGAAAGTACTGATGAATAACGTACTTCTGTTTAGTTCGTATCAGCTGTGTTTGAACATTGAGCAGTTTACAAATTACTTATTTGTATATTATCTAATAGTAGATTCATTGTTCCATGATATGTCACAGGAAATATTAGATTATTTTTATAGGTATAGTTTGGTGGTGAATGCCATCAGTAAAATCAGCAGTAATAGATTTAAGAAAGTTAAGAAGTATTAAGTAAATTAATATATTGATTGATTGTCCATCCATTTGGAAGGTCATGTTAGCTTTATTTATTTTATTTGCTGTGCTATTTTTTGTTATTTTAATATCAACTTTATTTTTACTGTCATTTTTCTTGTATATAAAATGAACCAAACTTGTAATTATTTCCAAATTAGAAAAGTAGATAGACTAACCTGAGATGGATTTTATAAGAAAATCTTAAATCAGTGTTTTGAGTTTTTTATTTTATTTTTAAAATTAATCTACAAATCATGTGCAACAAACTAGAGACTCACTTAGCATTAAAAAGCTTAAACTACTTTTTTAGCATAGGAAATAAACTTCTGAGTTAACACTTGATTCAGTCTGTAGATAAGAGTCTGTATTAATAACTAACCCAGGGAATTATTGTAATTTGAGAGATATTTTTTTAATGCAAAAAGTAGTAGTCACCAGCAAGCCAGGATTTCAGGAAAACTAACCAAAATAGAAAAAAGAAAGAAAAAGAAAAGAATAAAATTTAAAAAAGGAGGTCAAAATAGAAAATATCAGAAAGATTAAAGATTTTTGTGTGCTTTATCCATGTCAGTGTTTTTTGTTGCATTTTGTTGCACTAAAATCATTGAAGTATTCATCAGTTAGCCTTTGTCAGTAGAAAGTGGTTTCCCCTTTATGTGTGCCACATACCCAGTTTGTTTCACTTTGCAAAACTAAAATCCATATACATTGCTTAGAAAGTTATTTAAAATCTTATACTCTTAACAAATTGGAATTTTGCATTAATACCTTTGGTTTGCATTTCAATCATATGAAGTGTTTCCAAAAACGTATTATAAATTCAAATAAGCTAATTACTAACTTCTTAATTTTTTAATTTTTTATGGATGTGAAACAATGCTGCTGTTTGTTATTGTGTGTAAATATGTTACAATTTAATTCAGCATAATACTTTAAAGAAAGAAACATTTATTTTACTTACAACTTCTTGTAGGTTCTTCTGAAGTTATTTCATGTAGAGATATGTGTCTTAAACAAGTCTGAAAGTGTTATATACTTTTAGGTTACAGGTGATACTGCAGAAACAGCTGAGGAAAGGAATATGTGGAAGACACCACAGAGTTCAGAGTTTTAACTTGAGTTCTATTTTCTAGAGTTTTACCTTGAGTTTTATATTCCATATATGTTTTGCTTGAGGCATTTATCATGTGACAATGGAAAAGCTATATCCAAAGGTAAATTTTTTGTGGCAAAGATTTATTTTACATTTTAACTTTGGAGATTTTGTTTATTTGTTTCTGCAAAATAAAGAGCACTGAACTTTAAACTTGAATTTTTCTGCACTTTTTTAGGTAAGGAAAACTTTTATTATCATTTAATCCATTTCTCAGTTTAAATCAAGTGATACATTGTATTAAAAAATACCAAAATCATGAATATGCTGCTAGATTTACCTTAAACAAACTGATCAGTTTTAAAACCTTATTTAATAGGGTTTTATATAGTTAAAGATAAAAAGAAGTAAAATTATTTCCTATTTGTTTCAGTGTTCTTGGTCTTAAATGATTCCAACACTTTCAGATTTGTTTTACAATCATACAGTAACATGTTATATTTATACATACTGCTAGAGAATATACTTTTGGTTTTAAAATGAAATTTTTATAAATGTACTCTTTAATTTTAAAAACGGTGAACTTGTTAAGTTTTAAGTCAAAGTACTTAAAAAGTATGTATATTATCCATACAAAAAGTTATGTTTTACGCTTATAATAAGAAATATTGATATCTCATATCGAGATACAATTAATTTTAAAAATCATACATCATTTAAAGTCTTCACATGTCAGGAAAGATATTATTGGTATAGTTAAAAATACAAAACAAAAAATCTATTGAGCATTTTCAAATGTTATTTTTATTTTGGGGGAAAATGCCCACAACAGTAATTTCAAGGTCTTTCTCAATAGCTACAGCTTGCTGTTGGATGCCTACTTTACCTATTGTTTTAAAATATAACTATAGATATATATATATATATATTTAAAATAGTTTTCCAGGTATTTTCTTCTACCTTTTTTAAAAATAAATTTCCAAAAAATGAAAACAGAGTTTATGTATTTTTGTCAATGAAGGTTTTTATTTTGTAGTTTATAGAATTTATTCCTTATCAGTTTGATACTTGATCAATATTCCTAGGCTTTTTAACTGCTATATCTTAAATGTTCTTTTTTTCTTTTCTTTTCTTTTCTTTTTCCTCTTAGGGTGTTCTCTTTGATTGAAGTTTATGCCCACAAAAAGTAGTTGTTTTTTGTTTTTTTTCATTTAAAAATGAATGTGAAGATATGTTTACAGTTTTTGTTAATTGCTCTTCTCATCATTCTGATCAATTTCTTGTAAAGTGCTATAGGAATTATTTTTCCTGTGAATATTAATGATTTAATGATCTTACTGCTGCCTCAGAAATTCCAAAGGTTCTGTGGACAGAAAATGGTTGTTACAACCAAAACCAAAAGAAAACTAACTAACCTTTCTCAGCTGAATTAAATGATTTTCATAACTTCCCAATTATTAGGGTTCTGACATTGCTTCCTTTAGTCACTAATACAGTCTTAAATTTTATTAGTCATAATTCATTTATAAATTGAATACACGACTACTTGTAAGTGCTCTTTTTTTATTTTTTCTCTTTACATGAAGGAAAAAAAAAAAAAACATGAATGTCAGTTTTGCCAGTACTTTGCAATGAGGCTTACAGTTTAATTTGAAATTTTATAGTGTGTGTAAATACATCAGTATTACTTTATTGTAGGTCGTTTGAGGCATTTAAAAAGGGAGGTACATTAATGGCAATGGAATTATATTTATTTTAATTTGTTTTTTTAAAATACTTTGCTATTTTGTGTTGTTCAACTGAAAACAATGTAAGGAGTTGAAACGGACTCAATATATCAGTGGAAAGCAATGCAAAGAAGATAAATCATGTTTTAATTTCTTTCATTTATTTTTTTGTAAATAAACAGTACTGTGATACTTTAGGTGTGACCTCTGCTCAACATGGTAGTTAGAAGCAGAAAACCTTTTGCTTTCTAAGTTATACTATGGGTTCATTGTAAATGCATTGCCAAAAGACAATATAAGAGAGAGCAAGATTTAGTTTCTAACATTGTCCACGTCAAGGGCAAGCATGCTTGGTATAGAGCTCTAGCTTGTATATCTTAAGCTGTACATGCAGGTGTTTTTCAGTTGCTACACTTTTTTTTTTCTTTTTTAATCTTGCTCAGTCCCAGTAACTATCTCAAAGGTAATTGCTGGAATATGCATTTGAAACAAGTTTTTTAAAAAATCTGTGTACTGTATCATTAAAAAAAAAAAACTGCAAACACTAAAAAATGTGTTAAAACTTTGTAGTTATTTTGCATTTCTGTACTTTATCAGCAAAAAAAACTGTCATTACATCAAAACTTTAAAATTAGGTATTGAAATATTTTTGTAAATAAATACCATTAAGCTGGTATTTTAAAAAAAATGTATTATAAATTGTTTCTGGAAAATGTT